TTTCCTGTCTCTCAGTGGCTTCTTATCCAATCCCATTGTCCCCCTCAGGCTCTCTACTGTATAAAAGTTACCATAGTAATTATTATTAGTTTTACAAGAGCTTAACAAATCACATTTAGTCTTTTGTCTGCTGAACACACCTAGGGCTCCACCTTCCTCATTACTGTGCAATTCCCAACGGTGTAATTACTAGGCATAAGCATGGCAGATTCATTTTATTGGGAAACAAATGTAAGGTAAGACTTAAGAAAGAAGTAATTCAACAAAAAGGATAAAGACAATGCATATCAAGATGATTTGGAGACTGGAGAGCCTTTTTTTTTAACCAGAAGAGACTAGAAGAGAATAGCAGGTTTAGCCTGGCAAAGTAAAGGGTGAAAAGGGAACCGATTTCTTCCTATAAATACATCATGGGGTAAACCTATGATAGGGAAGGAGAACGACTATATAGGCTAAAGCTGGGACAAGAATAACCATGCCAAAACTGGACATGAAAACAAAAAGGTTGGAAATTAGAAAAAAACCCATAACTATGAGTGGAGTGAGTATCTGGACAAGCCTTTCAATAGCAGTACTGGAAGCAAGAAACCTAACTGGTTTGAGGACAGAGCTAGATAACTTTGTAAATGGGATTGTTTGAGACAGTTTCCTCCAAAGCATAGGACAGGACTCAGTCCATGTCAGTCAAATGTTCCTACAAATACATTTATAATGCAAAATGAGGTAGTAAGCAACCATCAATCATATGGACCATGGTATATGTGTAAGAGGTCCAGTCAGATGCCTGAGGAATCCGTCTGTGGCTGACAAGCCCAATTTGAGAGCAACACAGCTTGTTACAAGTTTAACAGATCCATATGTTGTCTGAGTTGCAGTCCCAATTTACAGCATGCTGCTTTCTTCTTTCTTGTTTTGATTCCATCCTCTAGATCAAAGCCGCGTCATGTTGAGCTGCACCCAGTGCCTGATGTTCCCTCCAGATCGGATGGGATTTTGTGTGCTCCTCTCAGCTTTCTACGCTGATGTTGAATGGCTTCGTATTATTTTTGCACACATCATGGTACTGCCACAGAGGGTGACCCCACTTTCTAGAGCCATCTTGAATCTCACTATACAAAATATTCTCGGGGAAACAGCTTTCTCTCATTATCCTGATATGACCAATCCATCGCAAACGTTTCTTCCTGATAATGGTTTCTAAGTGTGTCACTTGTGAGTGTTCCAGGACCTCTGTGTTTTGTATTCTGTCTTCCCACCTTATTTTCAGGATCTTATGAACATATCTCATGTGGAAGCTGTTCAGTCTCTTGATATGCCTAGCATATGTAGTTCATGTTTCTGAACCATAAAGCAGCAAGTCTCATGGATTCATAACTTCACTTTAGCTGGCAGTTTGCTGTTATTCCATTCACATTTCTGTAATACCCTGAAATTCTTAGCTGCTTTTCCAATTCTGTTCATCAATTCAGTTTGAAGGTCAAGATT